GGCCCTCAACCAGAAGTAGGGCAAAGTGCAAGGGTAAAGATGTAATTGCCAATAAAGGTACATGTCCATGGGCAGTCCAAATATCGAGGGCTAATGAAAATCAGGATTGGTTGGTGAAAACAGTACAGGATGAGCATAAATGTTTGCAAACAAGGGCGGTTAAAGCTTGCACTTCCAGATACGTAGCAAACTTAATTGTTCAACAAATACAGAGTAACCCTAAAATTCCAGTGAAAGCTTTACACGAAGAGTTGTGCAAGAAACTGGAGGTAGGAATGTCATTGCAAAAGGTCGCTAGGGCAAAGTCAATGGCTGAGCGTATCATTAGTGGGGACTACCAAGTACAGTATGGATTTTTGAGGGATTATGTGTTGGAGCTACTCAACACTAATCCTGGTACAACAGTTAGGATTGATGTGTATCCAGAAACCTCCCTGTCTGTTACCACAAGAACTTTTAGAAGAATATATGTCTGTTTAGGTGCATTGAAGTTAGGATTCAAATCTGGATTAAGAGATTTTCTAGGTCTGGATGGTACTTTCATGAAGGGCCCTTACCCTGGGCAAGTGTTAACTGCTGTAGGGTTGGACTCAAACAATGGCATATACCCTGTAGCATATGCAGTGGTAGAGACAGAATCAACAAGTAGCTGGACCTGGTTCTTGGAACTTGTAGGAGAAGATCTGGATCTGGGACCAAATTCAAACTTTACCTTCATTTCAGATAGACAAAAGGTGTGTACCACCTAACTTTTTTATTACCTTTACTAAATACATTTGGTTAACTAATGTTGATTACATTGACTTTTGTTTAGGGAATAATACCAGCAATGGAGAAAGTATTCCCTAGTGCAGAACACAGGTTCTGTTTGAGGCATATCCAGGAAAACATGAAGAAGCAATGGAAAGGAAAAGACTTAAGTGACCAGCTTTGGGAGTGTGGTAGAGCAACAACAGTCAATCATTTTAACAGAGCAATGGATGAGTTGAAGAAGATCAATGCAGAGGCTCATGCTTGGGTGTCTAAGATCCCAGCAAACACTTGGGCTAAATCTCCTTTAGTGGTAAGTTTCTAGAAATTTATTGAGAATTGTTAATCTTCCCTTTTGTGTGTTTACTATATGTGTAATTGTCTTCTGTTAATATATATTATTCAGGAAGGGCACATACTGATTGTTTGTTGAATAACCTTTGTGAGGTATTCAATTCAAAGCTAGATGAAGGTAGGGATAAACCTATTATCACTTGCTTAGAGTATATTAGAGAGTATCTCATGAAGAGGTTATGTGTGGTGCAAAAGGAAATAGATAAGTGTGAAGGACTTCTAACCCCTACTGCAACTACACTGTTTGAAAAGATTAAGGCTGATGCATCAAAGTATGTGGCTAAATACAATGGGGCAGGGAAGTACCAAGTGGCAAGCACATGGCAAGACCAATATGTGGTAAATTTGAATGATCACAGTTGCAGTTGTAGGTTTTGGGAGATTACAGGTTTCCCATGTAGACATGCTGTTTGTGCTATATGGGACAAAATTGAAAATGGTGAAAATGCCCCACATGTTGATGAATGGGTCCATCCTTGCTATAGGTTATCAACATGGAAAGCCATGTATTTCAACAAAATTGATCCATTGAATGGACGTACAATGTGGCCTAAAAGTGACTGCCCATTCACTTTACTTCCACCAAAACATAAGACACAGGTTTGTATTTAAAGTACACAAAATATATAGTATACATGTGAACATGGAATGAATTCAATTTTAACTATAGTATATCAACATGTGTAGGTTGGGAGGCCTAAGAAGAAGAGAAGAAGGGGTGTTGATGAGCCAAACAGCCAAGCTGGTAGATTGAGCAGGAAATATTTGGCAGTCACTTGTTCAAAGTGTCATAACAAAGGGCACAATTCCAGAACATGTAAAGGGCAGGGAGGCAGTGGTGAAGTTGGAGGAGGCTGAAAATTGACTTTTTAGTGGTTATTAGGATGTTGGTGTTGTAGGTATTTAGAAACTTATGTAATGTGTACTTGTTTGAAGATGTGTTAAGAACTTGAAAACTTTGCATGTAATGGTGTGTATGCACTTTTTGGATCATGGTTGTGTTAAGAACTTTATAACTTTGAATGTAATGGTGTGTATGCACTTTTTGGTGATGAATTAATATGTTTTGTGTACTACCCTTCACTTCCAGATCAATTAATAACAATGTACATTTCAATTGCAAATGAAAACCATCTTCAAGATGCAATTACAATACACTTAACAATTACATTTCAAAAACATTCAAGAAATTGAACAATGAACTATAACAAACTACATTCCATTACCATTACCATTACCACTGCATTACACATTAATCTGATACATAAACCAAATACAACACCACCAATTCCAAAACCACCTACATAAACTGAAAGCAAAAAAACCCCTATCCGATTAAAATAAAAAAAAAAAACCCTGCAATGGTTACAAACCAAAAACCAAAACTCCATTACCATCCAAACCTTCAGAAGATATTTAGAGATTAAAATAATACCAAAAAAAAAAACACCCATGAACAAAACAACATCAGCTGGTAGTTCCACAATTCTGCAGTTACAATGGCGACCCTCTCCTCCAATCGATTCTTTGATCTTATCAAACCTGGAATCACCACCAATGCCCTAGCACACATAGGGGGATCAGACCATCGAATGAAACCACATCTTTTACAGTTCCAAAATTGCCTTCCAGGGTTACGATCCGTCCATGAAGTGATCTTCGTTGCTTCATTCCCACATCTGCAAGTCACCATCTTTGAATCAGAAGCGATTGGATGTCGTGAAGGGTGCAACGGTCGAGCAACAGTGGAAAGGAGGAGAGATGATCGACTGATGAAGCTAAAGGATTTGCCCAAAAATCGGACATGCAATTTCTTTTAAAGAGAGGAGGTTACAACTGAAATGACGAAATTACCCCTGCAATATTTTATTAAAAAATGAGTTAACGGTGAAATGCTAACGGAGTGAGCCGGAGGGACCATTTGTTAAAAGTTTTGAAACCACAGGGACCATCTGTGAGGTTTTTTGAACTTAGGGACTAAACTTGATATTTCTGGAAACCACAGGGACCATTTTTGAAGTTTTGTCTTTTTTTTAATATTAAATGACAAACTAACAAAATAACAAAATTTGAGTTAAAAAAAATAGTAATTGTTTACACATTTGGTATTGTATTCATTAGTTCTATATTTTAGGGGTAATTATCATATAAGTACTTATATTTTGGGTTCATTAATGATAAAACCATGACTTTCAAAAAATGAGTAGTATGTTACTATAATCTTATTAATATTTTTTTTTGTCTCACCATCTTTGCTCTTTTATTATTATGTTATTGTATTTTTTTGCATCTAATCGAAAGTTCTGTCTTACTTTACGATTAAAACTGTGATCCTAAAATGATAAACAAAAATCAAAATTTTCCAGACAAATGATATCTTGATTAGGTAAAATATAGTAATATTACGGTAAGATAATATTGTTAACTAACCATAGAAAATAAAGTACTATTATAATAAATAATATCATATGTCAATAATATAATAAAATTATAATAGGCCAATGTGTTATTTTAGAGAAAGATAATACAGTAAGATTATGTCACTATAAAATTATGTCACTATAACATAGTAAAGATTATGTCACTATAACATTATCTACTAGACAAGATAATACAATAAGATTACAACAAAATAATATTTTTTTGCCAGATATATATAATAATATTATTATAATAAACTCATGTCCATACAATATGATTATTTCAAGTTATTTTCTGTTAGAAATAAAAATAATAATAACTTGATTGTTAATGAGTATGAAATATTAGGACTTTGTTTTTTTTACTACCCTGTAAAATCCCAAATTTTGAATCGATTGCCAGTTTTTTGTTCTCCTTTGTAAACAATCGACGGTATTTTTTACCTTTCTATTAAAAAAAAGTCATGACTTTATTATTAATTAATGAGTTTAAAATATAAAAACTTTGATGAAGATTTACCTTATAATTAAAAGAGGGTGGGGAACTCTATGTATTTACAAACTTGCTCTCGGCAAACCCTCTACCTATTGGGTTTAATTTATTGTGTCTAAGTTTGATACTTTATCTTATTCAATTCTTCCGTTGAATCTTACAACATGTATTGCTAGCGGGATATTTAATTATTTAACTTATTTAAGTAATATGAATATAAAATTGAAAATAATATGAATAAAAGGATCTTATTATTATTTTTCTAAAGATATATTATTTAAAAACTAACAAGAAGCGAGACAAAAAAAAAAAAAAAAAAAAAAAAAAAAAAAAAAACATCATCAAGGAAAAAGCCAATTATGGGCACAATATCTAACAAGTCGAATTAAGGTAGCCCCTTTATTACCACTTAGAACAGAGTCAATATATTCTAAAACACATTCTAGACAGGTCTTACTTCCTGAATAATGAGATGTTTCTTGTATGGATGCCACAATGCGGAGTTGTCCGGTAATCTCTCAATGTTACAACCTGCTGATCGATATCCTCATTACAATTCATGAATATATATATATATATATATATATATATATATATATATATATATATATATATATATATATATATATATATATATATATCGGTTTCCATCTTACAGATTGGACACATAAAAGATTTGATTGGACAACTTCTATACAGATTGTGCCAATTAGGCAGTGTTTTTATTTGTTAGGGTCTCCTATATAAATAAAAAATGGTTGCATATTCATTCATTAAAATAACTGATAAGATATGAAAACGGTCAAAGGAGTTAGAAATTGAGATTGGAAATTAGCCTAAATACCTAATAAGGAATAAAGATATATACCACTATTCAAGATTTCAATCTATAAATACCTTAACTCACTTTTGTAGTTCCACACATCAAAACAAGCCACAATTTCTTGAGCTAGCATTCCATTTACATCTAAAAGCATTTCAAAATGGCATCAAGGGCATTGGCAACAACTACTTTCCTCCTCGCTCTCAACCTTGTATTCTTCACTCTTGTAAGTTCAACATCTTGCCCACCACCACCAAAGATCCCTAAGCCACATAAAGATCACCAACACAAACCCACATGTCCTAAAGATACACTCAAGCTAGGTGTGTGTGCAAATGTGCTCAATGACTTGGTTCACCTTGTCGTCGGTACACCAGCAACCACTCCTTGCTGCAGCCTCCTTGGCAACCTTGTAGATCTTGAGGCAGCGGTTTGCCTATGTACCGCCATTAAAGCAAATGTCTTGGGTATCAATCTTAATGTGCCAGTTTCTTTGAGCTTGTTGCTTAATGTCTGTGGAAAGAAGGTGCCAAAGGGCTTCAAATGCGCATAGAGATCTTTGCTTAAGTTCAATTTCCAAGACTTGGTTTTCTGTTCGTTGATCTTATATTTGTTTGGTGTGTTTCCATCTTAAATTTGATTATTGTTTTGTTAAAGATGTTGATTTGAGTTGGAAGGCTCGTCGCCTTCTATTGTATTTCGTATCCGGTCATAATGTGACTAGGGTTGTATTCTTGTGAAGCAAAAATAAATATTCATGTCCTTAATAATTAATGTGCTTTTTCCGGAGATTCCTCATGTGTATGGGCCCAATTTAAATCCATATCTGTATCCTTGTGTGAATTATGAAGTATGATATCTGACACAATTGCCACACAAATGGGTTTTGGTTCATTTTATTTAGTAAATTACTTGCCATAAATAGTTCCTAATGACTAAACTGGTAAACCATCATACGATATTTCTTCTTGGCTACAAACAGTTATAGATTTTTAGACTACCCCCATTTGGGGTTTCTTCCGAGCGGTTACTATGTCCACTTTTAATAGAGGAAATCAAATACTTTTTATATCAAAAGCTAACTTTTGTTAATAATTAACTTAGTTTCTAATATAAAATAAAATAAAAGATAACAAAATACCTAACTGATTTTTCTTTACAAATTAAGACCAATATTGATATAATTTTATAAATATATAAAATTTATATCATAAAGTCCCAATTAATGTTGTATAAGCAAATCAGTCCCTTATGGTTATATAGAATAGATTGCGTTTAGATTGTTAACGAGTGTAAATAATTGGATCAGGTTTGGTTGCATGTATAGGTGGAAAAGAAATGAAATTACTTTTTTTTATTTTTTTTTTATTATTTTTATTTTATTTGAAGAATTAGGTTGGATTGGATTGCTAATGAAGATAATTTTATAAAGGACAAAACTTCAAAAATGGTCCCTGTGGTTTCCAGAAATATCAAGTTTAGTCCCTAAGTTCAAAAAACCTCACAGATGGTCCCTGTGGTTTCAAAACTTTTAACAAATAGTCCCTCCGGCTCACTCCGTTAGCATTTCACCGTTAACTCATTTTTTAATAAAATATTGCAGGGGTAATTTCGTCATTTCAGTTGTAACCTCCTCTCTTTAAAAGAAATTGCATGTTCGATTTTTGGGCAAATCCTTTAGCTTCATCAGTCGATCATCTCTCCTCCTTTCCACTGTTGCTCGACCGTTGCACCCTTTACGACATTCAATCGCTTCTGATTCAAAGATGGTGACTTGCAGATGTGGGAATGAAGCAACGAAGATCACTTCATGGACGGATCGTAACCCTGGAAGGCAATTTTGGAACTGTAAAAGATGTGGTTTCATTCGATGGTCTGATCCCCCTATGTGTGCTAGGGCATTGGTGGTGATTCCAGGTTTGATAAGATCAAAGAATCGATTGGAGGAGAGGGTCGCCATTGTAACTGCAGAATTATGGAACTACCAGCTGATGTTGTTTTGTTCATGGGTGTTTTTTTTGGTATTATTTTAATCTCTAAATATCTTCTGAAGGTTTGGATGGTAATGGAGTTTTGGTTTTTGGTTTGTAACCATTGCAGGGTTTTTTTTTATTTTAATCGGATAGGGGTTTTTTTGCTTTCAGTTTATGTAGGTGGTTTTGGAATTGGTGGTGTTGTATTTGGTTTATGTATCAGATTAATGTGTAATGCAGTGGTAATGGTAATGGTAATGGAATGTAGTTTGTTATAGTTCATTGTTCAATTTCTTGAATGTTTTTGAAATGTAATTGTTAAGTGTATTGTAATTGCATCTTGAAGATGGTTTTCATTTGCAATTGAAATGTACATTGTTATTAATTGATCTGTGAAGTGAAGGGTAGTACACAAAACATATTAATTCATCACCAAAAAGTGCATACACACCATTACATTCAAAGTTATAAAGTTCTTAACACAACCATGATCCAAAAAGTGCATACACACCATTACATGCAAAGTTTTCAAGTTCTTAACACATCTTCAAACAAGTACACATTACATAAGTTTCTAAATACCTACAACACCAACATCCTAATAACCACTAAAAAGTTAATTTTCAGCCTCCTCCAACTTCACCACTGCCTCCCTGCCCTTTACATGTTCTGGAATTGTGCCCTTTGTTATGACACTTTGAACAAGTGACTGCCAAATATTTCCTGCTCAATCTACCAGCTTGGCTGTTTGGCTCATCAACACCCCATCTTCTCTTCTTCTTAGGCCTCCCAACCTACACATGTTGATATACTATAGTTAAAATTGAATTCATTCCATGTTCACATGTATACTATATATTTTGTGTACTTTAAATACAAACCTGTGTCTTATGTTTTGGTGGAAGTAAAGTGAATGGGCAGTCACTTTTAGGCCACATTGTACGTCCATTCAATGGATCAATTTTGTTGAAATACATGGCTTTCCATGTTGATAACCTATAGCAAGGATGGACCCATTCATCAACATGTGGGGCATTTTCACCATTTTCAATTTTGTCCCATATAGCACAAACAGCATGTCTACATGGGAAACCTGTAATCTCCCAAAACCTACAACTGCAACTGTGATCATTCAAATTTACCACATATTGGTCTTGCCATGTGCTTGCCACTTGGTACTTCCCTGCCCCATTGTATTTAGCCACATACTTTGATGCATCAGCCTTAATCTTTTCAAACAGTGTAGTTGCAGTAGGGGTTAGAAGTCCTTCACACTTATCTATTTCCTTTTGCACCACACATAACCTCTTCATGAGATACTCTCTAATATACTCTAAGCAAGTGATAATAGGTTTATCCCTACCTTCATCTAGCTTTGAATTGAATACCTCACAAAGGTTATTCAACAAACAATCAGTATGTGCCCTTCCTGAATAATATATATTAACAGAAGACAATTACACATATAGTAAACACACAAAAGGGAAGATTAACAATTCTCAATAAATTTCTAGAAACTTACCACTAAAGTGAGATTTAGCCCAAGTGTTTGCTGGGATCTTAGACACCCAAGCATGAGCCTCTGCATTGATCTTCTTCAACTCATCCATTGCTCTGTTAAAATGATTGACTGTTGTTGCTCTACCACACTCCCAAAGCTGGTCACTTAAGTCTTTTCCTTTCCATTGCTTCTTCATGTTTTCCTGGATATGCCTCAAACAGAACCTGTGTTCTGCACTAGGGAATACTTTCTCCATTGCTGGTATTATTCCCTAAACAAAAGTCAATGTAATCAACATTAGTTAACCAAATGTATTTAGTAAAGGTAATAAAAAAGTTAGGTGGTACACACCTTTTGTCTATCTGAAATGAAGGTAAAGTTTGAATTTGGTCCCAGATCCAGATCTTCTCCTAACAGTTCCAAGAACCAGGTCCAGCTACTTGTTGATTCTGTCTCTACCACTGCATATGCTACAGGGTATATGCCATTGTTTGAGTCCAACCCTACAGCAGTTAACACTTGCCCAGGGTAAGGGCCCTTCATGAAAGTACCATCCAGACCTAGAAAATCTCTTAATCCAGATTTGAATCCTAACTTCAATGCACCTAAACAGACATATATTCTTCTAAAAGTTCTTGTGGTAACAGACAGGGAGGTTTCTGGATACACATCAATCCTAACTGTTGTACCAGGATTAGTGTTGAGTAGCTCCAACACATAATCCCTCAAAAATCCATACTGTACTTGGTAGTCCCCACTAATGATACGCTCAGCCATTGACTTTGCCCTAGCGACCTTTTGCAATGACATTCCTACCTCCAGTTTCTTGCACAACTCTTCGTGTAAAGCTTTCACTGGAATTTTAGGGTTACTCTGTATTTGTTGAACAATTAAGTTTGCTACGTATCTGGAAGTGCAAGCTTTAACCGCCCTTGTTTGCAAACATTTATGCTCATCCTGTACTGTTTTCACCAACCAATCCTGATTTTCATTAGCCCTCGATATTTGGACTGCCCATGGACATGTACCTTTATTGGCAATTACATCTTTACCCTTGCACTTTGCCCTACTTCTGGTTGAGGGCCCACCACTATCAACTCCTGTAGAAGGCTTACTTACAACACCTTTACATTTCACCCTAATCCGGATTTTGTCATTTTTGGCTAGGTATAAAGACCTCCTTGTTGCTACAGCATGTGAGTTCATGTAGTTTTTAACATCAACCTTGGTTTTGAAGACCTGACCAATCTGAAATGGTTTAACATGAACCTCTCCATGTGAGCATGTACTTGACTTACTCAACTCTTTTAGCAGTCTCTTCCTATCATCTTCATGAAATCCTGCAAATTGATAATCATCAGTGGCAATAACTTCCAACTCATTATCAAAGTCAACCACTCCAATCCCATCATCTTTTGAATGATTGTTCAAGATTCCATGTTCATCTACATCAACAGCATTATGGAATTCACTCATGTCTACATCTACATCAAATTGTATGTTAGACTCATCCACATTGTATTCACTGTCATCAGAATCATCTCCACTATCCTCAGAACCATGGCCACTCTCAGAGTAGAAAGCATCTCCACTATCATCACTCACCATACCCTCTAGATAATCCACTTCTGGTTGTTTTTCAAATGAAGTTTGAACATTAAACTCAGCATCATAATCAGCATAAAGTGAGTAATCCTCTACAAATGGTTCATAGTCATCAACTGTTGTAGTATTAGCTCCATTATCAGCTTGGCAGCTTGGTTCCTGTACATGGTAAGTTCCCAATTGTTCTTCAGTTTCAACTGCACTAGTGATCACTTCTTCTTGAGTTTCAATTTCATGATTCACCACTTCCTTTTGAATGACATGACTTTCTTTACCTTGTGACCTTATAAATGGTACAATACTCTTTGAGTAATCATGGCCTTCATCAACATCTAACACTTGTGACTGCTCATAATCAGGGTTCATAGACTTGTTTAGATCAAGCTTTCTACTACATGAGCCTGCTTCTCTCCTACAAGGTTTCTTTCTATTCATTTCAGGTGACACACTATCAGGCTCCAACTCTTCAATAACAACTTTAGAAGGAGACTTGTAATAACTACCTACCCTTGTCTGACCAGTTTCAATATACACCCTAATAAGTCTGTGTTTAGGGACATATGATACCATTTTAAGTACATCTTGATCATTACCTAAAGGCATTAAGCCATAGTCCAAAGGGTATTCAGGGATACAGAAATGGTAGTAAAGGGTTTGCTCAGTTTTGTACCCTAGTTCTCGAACCATGTCGTCAAGATCATGAACTGAAAATAAATCAGTGTCAACATAATCTACATATGCTACAACACCATCAACGTATTTCCTTCCAGGTGCTTTGGTGAAGACACCACTGTAGTGTATCTTCAACGTGAAATAGTTCTCATAACCTTCTGTAAACACAAAAAAAAGAAAGAGTAAAATCAATGATTTCCTTACGTCAACACAATAGACCAAGAAAAAACAAGTTTTGTTGTAGTATTGTACCGTATGTTTTTCCTAAGTCCTCCACGGTTACAAATTTTTCTCGAAAACACCATATTGATAGCACCATTGCAATTTCTGCAGCTTAAAACCCTAAATCCCAATTTCTGTTCTTGCTTCTTCGATGGGAATGAACCCGATGACTAAACCTGTAACTGGTTATCTTCTTGGGAGAGGGACGGGTAGTGATGTGCAAGCAAGTAATCATTTCATATTAAAGAGAGGAGGTTACAACTGAAATGACGAAATTACCCCTGCAATATTTTATTAAAAAATGAGTTAACGGTGAAATGCTAACGGAGTGAGCCGGAGGGACCATTTGTTAAAAGTTTTGAAACCACAGGGACCATCTGTGAGGTTTTTTGAACTTAGGGACTAAACTTGATATTTCTGGAAACCACAGGGACCATTTTTGAAGTTTTGTCTTTTATAAAGACTAGTAAAAAATATTAAGTTTCTATAACATATATTTTAAACACAAAAATAGTTATTAATGTTAGTTTTTTTTTTTTTTTTTTTTTTTTTTTTTTTTTTTTTCATACACAACCTATTACTTATGGAATTTCACGTTCTACTTTTTCATATTTCCAAAATTGTTATTTTTCCGAATACATGCTTATATCTTAATAATTTTGTTTAGGAAAAAACTCCATTATCTATGGGGGATTTATGATATCGTATGTACAAAAGGTACAAAATAAAAACAAAAACCAAAACCATGATTCATAAAACGGCGAAAATATATATATATATATATATATATATATATATATATATATATATATATATATATATATATATATATATATATATATATATATATATATATATAGGGTTAGGTTCATTTGAGACCACCTATATTTTGTGAGACCGTGAGACGCATTTTTTTATTTATTTTTATTTATTTTATTTTTTTTTATTTTTTTAGTTAATTCATGTTCCGAAAATAATATTTAAAAAAAAGAATTTTTTTATTTTTCCATTTATTTTGCATTTTAAAATTATTTTTAGAATATGTACATTGTAATATTCTATTTAGAATATTTCACGTATTTTTCAAAAAAAATAGAATTTTTTTTTTAGACAAAACTTCAAAAATGGTCCCTGTGGTTTCCAGAAATATCAAGTTTAGTCCCTAAGTTCAAAAAACCTCACAGATGGTCCCTATGGTTTCAAAACTTTTAACAAATGGTCCCTCCTGCTCACTCCGTTAGCATTTCACCGTTAACTCATTTTTTAATAAAATATTGGCAGGGGTAATTTCTCATTTCAGTTGTAACCTCCTCTCTTTAAT